TTTAGATATAACAATGTTATATTTCACATTCCATATTCTGGAGCTGCTATGTCAACAGATTACAGAATGAAAAGAATCCGGAATTGCAATCTTGATTGCTTACACCTGCTCATCATTTTTCGTTGTTGTGTATTTATAGTCACATTCACTCTCTGCACATTTTTGGTCAAGTCTTGCATGTAATTGCTGCTGCAGTTTTCTGTAATCATAGTCCTGTCTGTCATGGTTCATCTGACTCCTGTCTGGTTATCTTGTACCTGTGCTTTTAGACTGTGTGATTTGCATTTGTTTACTCTTCATCATGCCTGACTGCATATTTTGACCCTTTGGAAATTCTCTTGCGATTCTGTACTTAGATTTGTTAGCTGTCACAGTGTTGCTCATTAAAATCTCTGCACATGAATCTAAACCCATCATCTCTGATTGAACAGAAAATACACAGACCTGTTGAGATCCACCACACAATATCTTTGTGATTTCAGAATGTTTAAAGATTGCAATGGGATTCAATATTTTTCATGAAGCACAAAGAATTAAACTGTCTTGTAAATTGCTTATATTGTTGCAGGATTTGACAGTGACAATATATTAATCGCATTGCTTTGGTTTAGATATAACAATGTTATATTTCACATTCCATATTCTGGAGCTGCTATGTCAACAGATTACAGAATGAAAAGAATTAATTTAATGAATAATTGGTGTGTGATGTAACTTATTCCATTTGCCATTTGTCCATGAATGATACATCAGATTGATAAACTACAAAAACAACAACAACAACAGGCTTTCGAGGAATCATAGACACTTACAGGTGTGCTCTTTTTCAGAATTATTACAAAATTATTACAACCTCACGCTGTTCACCTGTTCATGTGGTATGTATCATATGAAAACGATAGCAAATGTGTTAGTGGTTTATGGAATGGGAAAAAAGGTAAATTGGAACCACTGCTAATTGTGCAAAGCAAAAAAAAAAAAACGTGACAAAGCAGAACAAAACAAAAGACACAGTAAACATCATATCTTAAAAAAAAGACACATTAAATGCGTTCTTCTGTTTAGTTACTAAAAGTGCTAAAGCTATTATTTTTCAATATAAAAACAAATATAAATGTAATTGAAAATGAAGAATAATGTAAACATAAAAACTAGTTTAAAAACATCAATACTGCAGTAACATTGTCTAGTTGCAAGAAGCAGTTCATGTTGACCTTAAGATCCCCTCCTATTATCTTCTATGCTGAACCGATATCTAACTGCTCTAATTGAGGCAGAAATGCTTAGGTCTTTCATTGTTCTACCAGTATATAATACTGGTGGGACTCACACTATTTCAGGCTCTGTAACTAGACTAGGTCATGTTTTTCTTCTCCCGTGTTCGACTTTTTGGTCCCCATAGGAATACCCTTTCAGAACATCCTTAGCTGATGGGAAGATTCCTCAAGGTTCTCTGGGCAACAGTCCAGGGCAGGGAAATCTGCCTCACAGTAACCCAGTAAGGAAAACACATCAAGAAGGAGGGCCGTCACCTCTGAGGCATCTTGATTGATTGGCATGTCAGAATATTTCATGCATTATAAATGGCATTGATTGCACCTTTAAAATGGTGTTTGGGGAGTAATTCCAGAGGTTATTTCAACAGTCAATCAACGTTCTTCTGACAGGACCTGCAATCTCAAGCAGATGCCAAGTGTATCATACCCATTTTCTTTCCAGTAACCAAATATCCGTCAAGGGGTTGGCAAGTTCTGAAGAGGAGCTGTAATCAGATTTCTACACATATATTAAAAGCATCTCTCAAATGCAGATTAACTTTAAAGGGTCATGCATCGGTGGGGCATAGCATGCTTTGATTGCCCTCCAAGACTGCTTGTTCTTGTTTTTATGTATTTTATATTTCCATGTACATTATCAATTGGTGGATTATTTTTATATTTGGCAGACATTTCTATCCAAAGCAACTCACACTGCCATCAAAGAATAACAGTTTATTCCCTGGGAATTTAAGCCATCACCTTATTGTTGATCATATGCCCTATCATAACAACATCCTCTGACTAAAACATGCCAGTGCTCAGCGTCACATTCAGAAACACATTCACTCACATACATAAAAGCCTGTAATATTAATAATATTATATGCAACATTTGATTTTAATGTGTTAGTAAATGTTGGAATGAACATTAACTAAGATTAATAAATGCTTAATAACATGCATTTTCATTGTTAGTTCATGTTAACTAAATAGTTAACTAATGTTAACATGTTCACAAATGGAACTCATTGTGTTTTTGGAATATTCCAGGTTCAGTAAAAGCACTAATGGCACCATGATGATAGAAAAACAACAACATTTTAACTCATTTTCAATCAATCAATCAATCAATCAATGTTATCCCATGCCGCACTTACAATGCATGAGAATGGGACTAATTTGCTCATTTTAAATGTCAAGCTTAACGTCTTATAAATCACTTAAATTAATTCTTCTGTTAAAATGGCATTATTTTAGCAGTAAATTTAAATTTTTATATAAAATGTTAGTATTAGTTTGTAATAAAAGTTTTTATTACTACTATTGAAGCAGTGAGTATTTTAGCATATAGTGTTTAAACTTTATATAGTGTTTTAACTGAACTTTAAAATTGTTCCTTAAAATTTGCTAAATGCTTGTTATATTGCAAATATAATGCAATATTACAAATGTTAGTTATGGTGCAGTATATATCCATCATAAATAATCGGGTTTTAGGTATATTTTAGTGGGTCATTTTGTACCAGGGTGACTTTCTCACAGCTACTTGCACAGATACAGGCCATTATGTTTGTGTGTGAAGTTGAACGCATGTTTGTGAAGATGGCTAGTGGTGTTTTGGCACCTTGCAAAGAACTTGGCAATCTACCGAGCTATTAGGATTCAATTTAGACAATGCAGAATTTTAATTATTTATATTTGTAAAAATGTAAAATAATGTATGAGATGTATGAACAAATTGTCATTGTCTAATTTATTGTGATTGTTGTTATTTCTTTATTTTTAATTAAAGGGGTCATATGATGCGATTTAAATTTTTCCTTTCTCTTTGGAGTGTTACAAGCTCTTGGTGCATAAAGAAGATCTGTACAGTTGCAAAGACTAAAGTCTCAAATCCAAAGAGATAATTTGGTAAACCAGGCAATGAACAGGCTAAAGTGCACAATCCATATGTAAAGCAAAAAACAAGTGAGTATTACAGATGAAAATAAGGTTTACCTATAAGTATAAGTTTACCTTTCATTTTCGGCATGACATTTATATAGTTCTTGAATAATGTTATAGGATCACTGGGTTGAATACACCCTGTGATCACAGAGACCTAAAAAACAATGCCATGTTGGCACTGTAATGCAGATAACACTTTCAAACAAACCACATAATGCATACATTTTCTGTTGCTAACACTGAAACAGAAGATCCAACATATGCATGATCAGCAAATAATTTACTTCACTAACATTTTACAATAAGGTTGTACTCATTAAGGTTAGCTTACACAAAAGTTAAAAGCATGAAAAAACACTGAACAAAACAGTGCTTTTAGAGCATTTTAATTTCCACATAGACTAATAGATTTTAACTGTGCATGTTTTACTTTTTAAATTAAACGTAACATTGTATATTTATAAATCAACACTAGCATAAAAATAAATAAATGCTGTAAAAAAATATTGTTCACTGTTTGTTCATGATTTACTGTATAATGCATTAACTAATGTTAATATTTAGAACCTTATTGTAAAGTTTTTTTTTTCTTTCTTTCCTTCTTAATATAAAAACTTAGTGCTTATGAACCAATTTACAACCCCTTCTGGAATAAAGTTATTACCTAGTGAGCTGCCTTGTTATCTACTGTCTACATAGCCAGATGCAAGCAAAATTATGCCTGCCTATCATTTGGAACAGCTTTCCTGTCAGGAGCGCCTATGATATGTTAAAATGTCTTGCTAGGCAGCTCATTAGGTTTTGGAACAGAGTGCACTTTTCTAATGAACTCCATGACATCCTTCACTGCCTTTTGTAAAAAAATAACAAAATGCTATTTTCTTAATTTACAGATTTGACTTGTAAAGCTTTGTAGATATTAAATCACACAGGCCGAACATTCAGGTGGATTTCAACTTAAGATTTATCTTGGCAGACATTCTGAATTATCCCTGCTGGCACTCAACATAAGAAACTGAACAATCACACAGTATTGGATGTGACACACCAAGGATCCGCTCTAACAGCGCAAACAAACTATGTGATGGTCAACATCATCTCATTATCTTTAAACATAAAAGTTTTGAAACATTTTAATTCATTTTTTTAAAGTGTCTCAGGGGTTTCCCTAGAAACGGCAACAGTGATTTATCTTAAAGTGACTGATGGAAAAAATAACAAGCTAGCCTGTTTATTTCTTTTAAGTCACAGCATCAGTAACACTGCAGGATTCATAAAGAAAATAATTAACCATTTTCTGTGCTCCCTTAAAAATTTGTAAGCAGTTTGTATATGCTTACTGAGACACCTGAAAAATCATTGATGCATGCAAGAATGTGTAGCTCTGTAAAATTTTGATGTTGCCTGCAGGGACAACAACAGTACTTTTTGTAAATGCCCAGTAGGATGAGTGCTTTACGCTCCGTGTGTTTCCTGCCAAATGGGGATCTGATTGAAAAAAGAACCACTGGATGAAAAAAAAAAACAGACAACGCCTCCTTTAAAAGCATGCAGAGCAGACAAACCTCTTAGTCAAGATGAGCTTCAAGCTCGGCCATTTCTGAATCAATTATTCATCTGAATTGGATTAGATGGCCCCTGTGATTTCCCTCCTTCTGTCTCCAGTCATCTCTGTCCTTGTGTGTGTCTGTGGATGGTTTTAGCATGATATGTTTCACATTTCCCTGTTGTGAACATTGCAATCCACTGACCACAAATCATCCTATGTCAGAAGTTCTTCCTGGTTCTTTGAGAGGGTACTGATCAATCCTGAGTGGTACCTTGAAGTGAGTGGTCTGTGATTCAAGGGATACAAAGCCATTATTCTTTGTTTTTCAACAGGTTTAATCAATTTTATACTTTAGAGACAGGTAGCCCATGGCCCAGTGTGCCATTACCTTTTGGCAGCCTGAGAAGCTTCCTCCGCATGTCATGAGCACTTGGCCTGGCACTATACCACAGTGCTGATGGTGGAAGACTCCTCAGACTTGCCCTGCCTGCTGGGCAGAGACTTGAGATACTCCAGGTGGCGCCTGGCATCTTCCTGATTGTGTCTCACATAGTAGACCAGGTAGGAGATGACCATGGTGAACCACCCAAACATGGTCACCAACATGGCCACATCCGTGGTCTTTTTGAGCACCACACACAGGTCCAGGTCTTTGGCCAGCAGGAAAGGCACGCCTTGGGCTCCAGAGTCTGAGGGTTCAGATGTCTGACAGATAATGCCAGTCAAAGACACAGGCTCTAGGTCTAGGCGTGGAAGGGCTGTCTGCAGTCTGCAGTCACAGTGCCAGGGGTTTCCGGTGAGGTTGGATCTTGCTGTAACACCTTCAAATGCATCTGGGTCCAGTGTCGTGAGCTGGTTGGACGAGAGATCCAGAAATTGTAGAGAGACTGCCAAGCCTATAAAGGCTCCAGGTTCAAGCAAAGCTAGTTCGTTATGGGAAAGATCCAGTTCAGCTAGCAGTGGAAGATCATGAAAGGCATTGGCAGGGATGCTGGTCAGGAGGTTGTAGTCCAAGTAGAGGCGTCGTGTGTCATTGGGAATGTCCTGAGGGATATCAGTAAGATGCAGGTTGCTGCAGCGCATAGTCTTACCACCAAATGAGCCCTCGCTGTCTGAACAGTAGCAGCGTTTGGAGCAGGAAGTCGCAGCATGGTGGAAACACAGTGTCATCAGCACTAAGCTGTGAAACAGCAACCACATGACCACAGAGTGCCGAAGTAGCCAACCTGAGGGTAGCAGCATTGTGGGACAGCGGGCATAATCCCTTTAGAGTACAACCTGTGCTGAGAGTATCCAGGGGGCTGTACCCAACATCAAAATGCCCAACAGCTTGCAAGCCTAGAAGATTGAAGAATACAACCAGTTAATGAAAAATATATATTTCTTTAATGTTTCAGATTTCAGAATATGTAAAGATCATAATGTGTTTCTTTTTAATTCTGCCGTGCTCCCTGTGTGTGATAATTTTGAAGTATGAGAATTAAGAATGAGTTAAAGAGACCCTATTATGCTATTTTAAAGGTTCCTAATTTTGTTTTGGAGGTCTCCTACAAAAGGTTTATATGCAGCTAAGGTCATATTATAGAAATCGTATAAAACGATTTGTTTGTATCTTCAGTCACTCTAAACCCTACCTGTCTGCGAGCCTACGCTTCTCTGATTGGTCAGATGGTGCAGTCTGTTGTGATTGGTTTTACACTTACAGCATGTTTCGGAAACAAAATGCCCATTACCATTATCTAGGGATGCACCGATACTGGTCTCCTGTACTCGTACTCGTACTCGTTAAAATGCCCCGATACCAAACGCAGATACCACACAGCATGTGATAAGCGCCATATTCAAACAAAGAAACACCGACAACAGAACAACAGACAGCAGAAAGGAATTAAGGATGTCTACTACGAAGTATATGTATGCAATGAATATAACATTAAACATTCAGTATTAACGCCTGTATAGCTGAAGTGCGCGAGCTGATAAAAAAAGCACGCTGAGTGGATTGAGCGCACGGCGGCGCAGATGCGCG